CGGAAAAACGGTGGTTGTTGTCTGGATTCCCGGACACGTCGGCCTGGAGGGTAACGAACGCGCGGACGGGGCGGCGAAAGCCGGTACGTCCCACCCTCCGGATCGGACCATCGCGATCAGGCTCCCGGACGCTAAACACGCAGTTAAAAATATGATAAAAGAAAGATGGCAGCGTCAGTGGGCGGGGTCGTCGGAGAGGCTCTTGCGAGTGAAGAGCACGACCGGTAGCTGGCCCTCAGAGAATCTGAGCAAGAGACGAGGGATCGTCCTCACCCGACTGAGGATTGGCCATACGCGGTTGACACATGGGCACCTGCTTTTGGGCCAAAGCCCGCGCAGGTGCCCCTTATGCAGAGAAAGGTTGCTCGATGTGTCCCACATAATAGAGGCGTGTCATGCCTTGGCTCCATACAGAGAGCGTGTAGGTATGCCGCCGAAATTAAGAAGAGTTCTCGAACACGGTAGCGAGTTTCAGAGTCCCCTGTTCCGCTTTTTAGGGGAAATTGGCGTTTTTTATTGTATATAGTATGTCTTATGTGTTGTGTGTCTATATGTTTTGTCTGAGTGCATGTATTTATTAGCGTGAATGGCGAGGGGTGAGGGTGAAANGGGTTATTGTGAAAAAAGGGCCAGAGGCGACGGTGGGAATCGAACAACCCACGACCGCGGCGTGAGAGTCTCTCATGCTAACCACTCGGCTACCGCGGTCCCCATGTATGTAAGTGTATGAATGTATTTATTTGTATGAATGTAGTGTTTGAACAGGTATAGAATATAGACTTAGTTGGGGGCTGAAATGACCTAGATGTCGGAAGCCCCAGCCAAAAAAAAAAAAAAATATTCAGCAAAGGCACTTAATTTCTTTTTGTGTGGAGGGAAGATCCAAATAGAACTTTTATATTTAGAAACATTTATTGTTACACTGGCCCATCTAATATCATACCAAATAAAGATAAAGTCAAACAACCAGGCAAGTCAGCCACAAGTCTACTATTGGAATGAGCTTAACAAGAGGACTTACTCCAAATGATGCTCGCCAGCACCAGCTTCCTTATCCTTTAGTGTCTTCCAGGCTCTTCTTCCCACAGCCCCCTGGATCCCTGATTGTCGACTCTATTCGACTTGTCACAATCGTTAGGCTTGCTGGCTGAGTCCTACTGCTGAATCCCAGACTGGCTGCTGTAGAATGAGTTCTCGAGTTGACTGATTCCTCGATTGGATCCAGGGGACTGGATTGCCTTGGTTGTTTGACTTTCTGTTTATTTGGTATGATATTAGACGGGGTAGTGTGGAGTGGGCCATCCCCTCAACATAGTTGGTAGGGAGGGCACTGAGACATACCAGTAAGCCCTTAAAGCGCTAAAAATGGCCTTGGTGTTTGGAAGAATACCCGGAAAAAGAACTAACAACCGATCAGGGCAGAGCTGTTCAGCAAGCCATCCTGGCTGAGGTCTGGAAGTGCAAAAACTCCATAAGGACCTCAATTCAGGAACAGGTACATTGAAAATGGGGCTGTCCTGATAACTTGCAAAAATCGAAGTGCCAAGGAATGGCTCATGGCAACGGTGCCAACCATCCACCCGTGGGAAGGGGCAAACCTTAGGGTAGGCCCCTACAGAGAAATTATAAACACCGCTAGGATCCTGACCTCTGGGCACTTGTAACCCTAACGATCTTCAAGAAAGCAACAAAGGCTAATGCTGAGAGAGCTTCAAGCAAACGTCCAGCACAGTAAGGCTGCAACACTTACACTTTGTCGTGTGGCCAAGGAGAAAGACATCGATGTAGCCCTTATCCAAGAACCTGGCTAATAAAAGGTAAAGTAGCTGGGCTGGGAGATAAGTGAAGAAAAATCATATATGACCACACGCAACAAAACGTAAGAACATGCATTTTAATTAAAAATGAACTACAATGTCTAATCACTTATGAGCTCCATTCCAGGGAGCAAGCAGTAATTTAGACTAAACTACATGAAGGAAGGAGTCAAGATGGATATGATGATAGCCTCAACCTCTATGCCTTATGACTCACTGGGACCTTCACCACCAAAGGAAACTGAGGATCTGGTACAATACTGCAGGCATAAAAACCTTCAGTTAATCATTGGAGCTGACGCTAACTCACACAATGAGGTATGGAACAGCACAAACACTAACAAAAGCGTTGAGAAGCTTTTAGAATTTGTAGTAACTAATGATCTTAGTATTATTAACAAAGGCTCTAAACCGACTTTTGTAATCAATGGACGACAAGAAGTTATTGATATTACCCTCGCTACCTGCTATATTGCAAACCGGAGAGTGAATTGGACAGTCTCTGGGAAGATATCAAACTCAGTCCACTGACACATATATATGGAAATCACACAAGTTGATAAGACATGTAATGTGGGTCGAAATCCCAGGAACACAAACTAGGGGAAATACAGTGAGTTACTGGAGGAAAATACACTAACTTCTAATACAATGGCTAATATCAAAAGCACCCACGATATGGAGCTAACTTCTACACAAATACAAGAAGCTATAATAAACTCATATCATGAAGCCTGCCCACAAATCACCTACAACAACAAAAAGAAAATTTGCTGGTTGAATGACAACCTGGCGGCACTAAGAAAGAAAACTCGCAAACTCTGGAATAAAGTGAAAAAAAAAAAAAAAAAAGGGGAATACTGAAGTATACAATAAAACCCCAACAGAATACAATAGGGATATTAAAAAGGCAAAACAAGAAGTGTGGAGGAAATATTGCAAAGAATTTGAAAACATCACTGAGGCAAGTAGACGCCACAAAATCTTCACCAAAGACCCTACAAACCCCATCGGAACACTAAAAAAACCAGATTGAAAACATACACAAACCGGAAAGTAATCACATATGAAAAGATTGAAAGGGCTATCGATAACTTTAGCCCATTCAAATCTCCAGGAACAGACGGTATATACCCAGTACTTCTACAAAAGGGAAAAATAACGCTAATCCCCCTGCTTGTAAAAATATACAGAAGCTGCCTGGCAACGGGATACATCCCAAGCACATAGAGAACTGTAAACGTATTTTTCATTCCTAAAGTTGCTTGGAAAAACTACACAGACCAAAATCATATAGACCGATCAGTCTAACATCCTTTCTGCTCAAAACACTTGAAAGGCTAGTTGAAAAACATGTAAGGGCAGTTCTCTAAAAGAAAAACCCCTTCATAAATATCAACATGCCTATCAGAAAGGAAAATCATGCGAATCAGCACTACATCAATTGTCGATACAAATAGAAGATCCTTTGAACTACCAAGAAATAGCATTGGAAACCTTCTTGAACATTGAAGGAGCATTTGACAATACTCCTTTTGAAGCAATGGTAACATCACTCAAACAGCGAGGAACTGACAAAACCTGCTGCAGATGGATAGAATCAACGCTAAAAAGCAGAAAAGTGCAGGCCTCCACGTTCCACGAAAAAGTAGAAGCAGCAGTGGCGAGAGGATGTCTGCAAGGAGGAATACTCTTGCCTCTCCTGTAGAATGTAGTAGCGGACCACCTCACACGCTAACTAAATGAAAGCGGAATTTACACCCAAGGCCTATGCAGATGACATTGTCATACTAGACAGGGGAAAATTAGACTCAACATTAAAAGAGCTCACCCAAAGAGCACTAAACCTAGTGGAACAATAGTGTTCAAAACGGGGACTTAAAGCAAATCCCTCAAAAACCACCCTAATTGCTTTCACCAAGAAAAGAAATATAGAAATGCCATCAATGCTTGTGCCCTAGAAAAAATGAGGTTAAATACCTAGGAATAATCTTTGATAGGAAATTAATCTGTAACCCTCACCTGCAACATACTATAAAAAGTAAAACATCACTAATGACCACAAGAAGTACCCTAGACAAATCTTGGGGATTAAAACCGAAAATGGCCTATTGGTTATACACGGCAGTAATATGGATCACTAATCTGGTGGAACAAAGCTAAACAAAAAGTACCCTAACATGTAAGCTAAAAATGTACCCAAACATTAGACAGCATACAAAGAATAGCAAACCTATGTATCACAGGGATAATTTATACAAATGCATTAGAAACTCTGCTAAACCTACTGGTCGGTCACTGGCATCTGAAAAAACATCTACACAACAATGATGATACAATGATGATCCCATTTGCAAATTATGTAATGAGGAGGAGGAAACAGCCACCCATATCATCTTTGAATGCGAAGCAACAGCTCAATGGAGATTTAACCTAACGTATGGAAAAAATTTAGGGAATTAAATTGCAGCAGTGACAGACAATAACCTGATACTTCTAAGGAGAAGGATTGAGTCTATTGCACTGAACTAAGGAACTAGGAAGGTACAATAAGCCAAAAGGCTGCAGTGCTTGGGGAACACAAACCCCACTTCCTAGTATCCTTTTTTTACCATACCATACCCTAATCCCATTTATAAAAATCCTGAAAGACTAACCAGACCTGAACAACAAGCCATTACCCCTTTTTTCCATTGTCAGTCCCTTTCACCTCAAAGAAGCAGACTCCTCATAGAAAAATAAATTTCTATCCCTACTTTTTTCCCCACTCCTTCAAAATTAAACTTATATAAGCAAAAAACATTAATATCTCACTAACACTCTCAACCGTGACACACAACAGTGACACATCTACACACAATTTGAGCAAGTACAAATACTTTGATAAAATCTAAAAGTTCTATGTTGCATACATCATTGTATAAATTCATATTAATATCTTATACATATACGTATAATTTAAACAATGTTTATAAATCCCAGGCCCTGAAGATGATCTCAATAAATATCAAAACGTAGGCACCATAAATGTGAAAATGTTTTTATAACCTACATCACACCATACCGCATCTCACGATCTTTAAATAACCATTAATTAATGGTCACTAAGCATTACAGAAATGTATTACATATTGTATTTTGGGCATCAGCCCATTTAAATAAATAATGTAATAAATACACAACCTGTGCCTTTTCATATTTATCTCTTAATCTGTCATTTTCCAGTTGAACTGTTTCTTTTTCTTTTTGGAGCCTGGTTGATTGGCCTAAGGTCTTGTCCAGTTGAGATTGGATATTTTCAAAGTCATACGTTTGCTTCTCTTTCTCCATTTGCATCTGCAATGTTAACTAAATATGCATATTTATTCTTAATTTTATTATATACATGTTATGTTGTAATGCCCGAATATAATTTTCTTAAATTATAATTTCCAGACTAACGATTCTTTTTGCGAGTTATGCACACACCATAAGCTAATTTAAATGTATATTTAAAAGAGACTAAAGGAAATTTACCCTTCTGATTTCTCCAGTCGATTTATCCAATTTTTCTTGCAACTTGTCAACTTCGCTCTGTGCCTTATCTAACAAGTTTTGTAGTTTTTCTTGTTGTAATTGTGCTTTACCGAGAGTGGCTTGTGTTCTTTCTAGCTCCTCCCTTGCTTTTTCCAAATCAAGAACGGCTTTATCTCTCTCTGCGTGTAAACGAGTTATCGCTGACTGTGCTCTTTCGTATTCCTCTCTGACACTTTCTTGTTCGCCTTGTGCATTCTCTAATTTAGCTTTTAATCTGTAAACTTCACCTTGTAATTTTTCCACTTTGTCTTGAGCGGCACTTGCTTCGCCTCGTACTCTTTCGTTGTCGGCCTGTGTTACACGCAGTTCAGCCTGTGCCCTTCGCAATTCAGTTGCCGCTTTATCGGCTTTTTCTTGAACTCTGTCCAATTCTTGTGAAGTGCTCAATGTGCTACGTCCGAAAGTAGTCTGCGATCTTTCGAGTTCATGTCTGAGACGTTCATTTTCAAGTTCAAGCCGTGTCAACCGCTGTTTAGCTGCTTCCCAGTCTGCTCCGCTGCGGCCGACTTCACTTGCAGCTTTGTCGAGTTCGGCTTTGGATTTGCCCAATTCCAATTGTGAACTTTCGAGTTTTGCCTCTAATCTATCTTTTTCGATTTGAGCACGGTCCATTCTCGCTCCCAATTTTTCAACTTCACTTTCAAGGGCATGCAACTTTAGCTTGTACTCCGCTATATCTCTTTCATGAAGTTCTCTCTCTTCCTGCCTCTCTTGTTCAGCCCTGTCTCTCTGCTCACGCAATTGATTCATCTGACGTTCTTTATCTCCTATTGCTTCTTCTAAACTCGAAAGTGCACCTTCACTCGTGCAATGGTGTGCCTGTAATGCAGATAAACGAGCTCGGGCCATGTCAACTTGATTATCTTTTTCTTTCAGTAGATCTTCCAAATTTTCAATCTAAACAAAAAAAGTCATAATTATTATAAGATAATGTTTCTAGCTATCGAGATTTAAATAGTTTAAAACCACAATTTTTTAAAATTATTAATACAATACTAGAGTTCTATTCCAAACTTAGTCAATAGCAAAATTAATCAAAAAAATATGTAAATCTTCTTTCAATCACATACTTAAAAATCCATAGGCTATACCAGGATTCAAACCCAGGACAGCTAGTGTAGCAAATACCTGTCAAATGTCCTAACCACTCGGGCACCGCGGTCCTCTCCCAAACTGATTATCAATTTAACAAAATCAACAAAATGTTAAGTGCAAAACTTTAAAAAAGTAGATGAATCTCATTTTAATAAATCAAACTACACCCCCAAAACAAATAACTTCACTCAACTTGTAAAATGTGAATTAAAAAAAATAGAAAAGCTTACCACAAATTTTTGAATATCATGGCTATCGATGGTCTCGGTCTCAGGGATTTAACTATAACTATTTCCTAATAGTATAAATATTTATGAAATTACCTTTCGCTGTAGCACGTTAATTTTTCTATCCTTTATATCCATGTGATCCCTCATTTCGTTTAATTCACTGGCAATACGATTTTTATCTTGTTGTGCCTGGAGAGACTGTTGGGTCTTTTTCTCAATGTGGCGATTTTTCTCTTCAAGTCGTTGTCGCAGTTCCTCAACCTAGAATTGTTGCATCAATTCGTTACAAAAAAAATAAAAAAATAAAAAAAATAAAATAATCTAAAAGGAAGAAAACACTATAATATACTCTAGCACTGTCTTTTCAACAGACAAGTTTTAATCATTACTATTTTTTAAGTCTTCAACATTTGAATCAGAATAAATTTATACGGTATTATGTTGATTATATCCAAAAATGGAATCAAAAGTCAGGTGAGTAGTTTACATTAACCTGCTTGAAAGATACAATGTTAAATTTTACTTTATTTTATCTAATGTTTACTGAAATAATTGAACTTACGTTTACATCTAATTTAGCCTGAAGAAAAAAAAAAAGAATTTTATTTGTTGTTCTAGCGATTTAATGATAATATAATTATGTATAATTAAAACTTTAAATAGGTCAGGTTGCAATATTATACTGTAAAAGTTTTATTTATTGTGTCTGTATCAAAAACAAGAAAAAATGTAATGGTGATTGAGGGATTATCTGTTTCATATGAAGGGCAAATAATGGAAAAAGTGTATTGTTGCTATTTTCATTCTGTTTAAATATATTTATTTTAATCCCTGTTAAGTGTAATTAAACAAATGTACCATTTAGGCTGCTTTCAAATAAAAAGGACTATATACTAACATCAGCTTGTAGCATGTTGTAATGTTCCTCCTTTGCACACAATGACTCCTTAAGGACAGCAATATGCCTTTGGTAATCCTGGTGTTGCTCCTCCAACGTCTTCATTTTGGCGCTCATTGCCAGAATCTCTTGATCCCTGCGCTGGATCTCGGCACGAAACTCCTCCAGCTACTCACGTGAAAATGAGTCAATTTTTGATTAATCATACAAGCGTATTACTACACATTACTTCTAATATATTGAGCAAAGTATAATCTCTCAAATCAAGTCTTGAATCAGTACTATTTTTTACAATAAATTTACTATTTTAAACAACTAATTATATTCGTATAATTAAAGTGAATAACATTTATTTATGCAATCTTTTAATTAAGAAGCAAATTTTATACGGGTATGGAGAAAAAAATGCAGTTTTATTGTGTTTTGCATTTTTTTATTAGAATTCAAACATTATGTTACAATAAATGTTGACCAGGAAAGACTTAGTTTGAGTTATTTTTTTTTATATGAGCAAGATTTAGCTTTGGTTTTTGGTAGTATGTGTGTGAAATGAATGAACAAATGACAGAGTTGTGAGTTTTCTTTTTTAGGTCGGTAGCATGAACTGTTTTCTAATCATCCTGGTCCTCCCATTCTCACTGGTTTAGTCATAATTAGGGACTGAATTTATATGTATTCACATATTTTTTTCTCAGCCTAATACATTATTTTTGAAACTTCTATTTCATATTTCATGCTATTTAGAAACAATAAACCATATTTTGTTTTACCTATTTGTAAATATTTGAAAGATTTTACATATAATTACTTTTTTAAATCCTAATTTACATTTTTTGGCCTATATTTAAGAAAATAAACAATGAAATGGTTTAAAATTAAAAAAAAAAGTGGGAAGGGTTTCAGGGAAGTAAAGATTTCAAGTGGGGGCATCGGGCGCCAGAACGGTTTAGACGTTGACACGGTGACCTCATCACTGTAAGGTAAAGGTCCCAGGTTCGAATATAGTGGCTCTGCATTTGGACCTGAGACAAAAGCCTTAAAAAAAAAAAATCGGAGATCGTGAGATGCGGTCTGGTGTGACGTAGGTTTTTGAAAAACATTTTCCTTATCGTGCCAACGTTTGTTTAATTTTTACAAATACAATGTAGGATGTGAAAAAAATGAATTTATACAATGCTAGAAAATTTTAGATAAAAAAAGAAGTTATACAATGCTAGAAAATTTTAGATTCAATCAAAGCAAAAAAAGTCTAGCATTGTATAAATTCATTTTTTAAGTCTAAAATTTTCTAGCATTGTATAAATTCATTTTTTTTCATATCCCAAATGTATTTGTAAAATTGAAACCATGCTTATAAATCCCAGGCCCTGAAGATGATCTCAAGAGATTGAAACATTGGAACGATAAAGAAAATGTTTTTGTAAAATCTACCGAGTACCTACTACCTACCTACCAAAAATCACACCAGACCGCATCTAACGATCTCCGAATAATCATTAACTAATGGTCACTAAACACCTCACATAAAATAAAAAATAAATATCGTTGAGTATAGTATCAGCCTTCATGATAAATACTGAAATAAAGATATCAAGAAAATGAATGTTTTCTTCAAATCATACAATGTGTTCTTCATTTGAAAATTTTTCAAAATTAAGCATGTCATAGCAAAATTAGAAGAAAACGCTTTAGCCCTAGGAAAGGCAAAATAAATTATGGAAAAGTGTACACTAATGCAAAATTTAGCTTTCATTGCGTCTTAAAAAAACTTAACAATCAGTTCGGGTATGTGGATTATCTGGCCCCTTCTATTTGGACCACATGTTCAAACTGATTGTTAAGTTTTTTAAATAGTTTTTCAAAGTCCTGAGGAAGGCATCAAATACAGCTGAATGCTCGTCAGCAGAAAACAAGTTGGTTTTTTTCACTTACATGGCTTCATCCCTGATCTCTTTACTACAATATAAAAAATAAAAAATAAAGAAATGTGCATTTTAAGATGTGGATTCTTTGATATGAAACATGAAAAAGATTATATTTAAAGCTCCAAGCAGAGTAAGGGCTTGAAAGGATATCTATCCAAATTTATTGTTCCCACCACAACCTGTCGTAATAAGATGGAGTTCTTGGATAGAAGCCACTTGACTACAGTGAAAATCTTTCAAAATTAAGGATGTCATAGCAAAATTAGAAGAAAACGCTGTAGTCCTAGGAAAGGCAAAATAAATTATGGAAATGTGTAAACTAATGCAAAATTTAGCTTTCATTGCTTCTCATTTTGAGACAGCATTGCTACAGTAAATGACGCCTTCCAAAAATGGGGAAATATCAGTGGAAGGACAGGGGATAAAGTTAAACAAAAAGTTACTGATATGGAAAAAAACCCGGACTTGGCAAATTGCGATTGCTCTTATTTTGATTACAAAAAATAAATTCCTCCCCTCCAAATGTAATTGCAGTCTTAAATTAAGACACATCCTTGAAGATGTGCAAAAAAAAAAAATTAGTTGGTACAAAAATATTTTAGCACCAAATCATTATAATTTTACTTTAGAAAATTTAAAAATGTAAATTATCTCAAATATATTTGAAGATCAGTTTTAAATTTTTATTTTATCTCTTTTTCACAATTTTCAAATACCTAAGATTTACACTTGTATAATTCCTTCTAAATAATAAAAATGTGTTTTTACTTTGTAGAATTTTTTTAGCACTAGATAGATATGTTTTTATTCACAAACATTTAAAAATTTACATTATTTCAAATAAATTTGAAAATTAAAGTTTATTTTCTATTTTATTACCTTGCTTTTACACATTCAACTATATGTGTAAATTATAAAATTATTAAAAAAAAAAATCATCTGTGATTTTTATCTTAGATATTTTTGTATTTTGCTTGCATACTTATTAAAAAATAAATACATATATTTGTGCATATTTTTTATTTTATTCCACATATAAATCCGGTCCCTAGTCATAATAATGCCAAAACCAAAGCAGTGTGAATAGGCAGGATGATTGGAAATGATAGACTAAAAATGACAAGATTTTTCCAAAGGGCATGGAAATAAGGAATGGTATTCACAATGGGTTGGGAGAAAAACGAGAACGAAATATTGCATAGGTGCGTCAGTCAATAACGGATAAAGGGGAGGGCATTCGAATGTGATTTGTGTCTGTGAAATTTCAACTTATGCAAAATGATATTAGTATTTTTTCAAAACTGAAAATAAAGCTGTAAGTTCTATTTATTTAATTTACAGATCAATTAGTTACAATAATTTTACTCAATTTTATTACAGATCAATTGAAGTTGGAATAATGAAATAAGTTTTGGCATTTTTCCTTTCAGTTTTGAATTAATACTTATTCGTTATGTAAAACTATATGCTTAGTATAACTTATTTGTGTAAATAGTTGTGCAACACATTCAATAATTTATGTTTATTACTAATTAATAAAGATAAATTTAAATAAGTAATTTGATCTTTTGTTGTTAGTGCATTTTTTACAATATACATAGTTTTTAGGAAAACTACGAGGGATCTACAGAATGGCTATGTGCTTGCTCTCAAACTTCAAGTACCAATAAACAATTAATATTTTCCGGAAAATTCCGAATAAAAAATTATTTACCTTATTGTAACATTTTAATATGCTTATCAACGTCTCAGACACTTATGGATTAGACACAGATAAATTTAAAATTTAAATTATACTAATTTTACTAATTGTTCGCGCCGTTTCGCGTGTTTTGTGACGTTTTTCACCCTTAAAATTTACTTGCTCCCCCTCAACAGCGATTCGGTTTTCGTTCCTTTTATTTATTCTAAGGAGTTTTTAGAACGGATTTTTCTTTCAACATGGAGTACTCATTTAACCACCTGTCAGACCGTACATGTTCTTCCACCCATATCTCATCACGCCGATTTTGAGATTTTAATGTGCTTTTTTTAAAATATATGTGAACATTGTAACATATAAAAACAAAAAACATTAAAATCTCACCAACACGACACACAAGATTGACACGACAACACAGAAAACACACACTTTTCGTGAGTACAAATACTTTGATCAAACCTTCTATTATGTAATGTGTACTTCATTTTATAAATTCATATTCTTATGTTATATGTATTTGTATAATTTAAACAATCTCTCATCTCAACCAAGACCTTAGAAAGAATAATTAATTGATTGAAAGAAGTAACTTAGTCAATCGACTACGAAAACGTAAATGGATTTAAACAATGTTTATAAATCCCAACCCCCTGAAGATGATGTCAACAAAGGTCGAAACAGTTGGCGCCATAAAGAAAATATTTATTTAGAAATCGTGAGGTGCGGTCTGGTGTGATGTAGGTTTCAGAAAAACATTTTCTTTATCGTGCCAACGTGATAAAAAAAAATATATTTTGCATTGTATAAATTCACTTTTCCACATCCAAAATGTAATTGTAATATATAAACAATGTTTGTAAATCACAGGTCGTGAAGATGATCTCAATAAAGATCGAAACGTTGGCACGATAAAGAAAATGTTTTTCTGAAACCTGCATCACACCAGACCGCATCTCACGATTTCTAAATGAATATCGATTAATCACCACACATAAAGAAAATGTTTTTCTCGTCTATATCACATAAGGTCGCATCTCACGATCTTTAAATAATCTGCATTTAATTATATTTCTCACAACTCTCACTCATTTTTCGTTTTTACAATGTCAATCATTAGGAAGGACCTGCATCTAGTGATTCATTCAGATTAATTACACCAATAATATATAGTGTTGAAACTACACATTCCTGTAAAAAGTACTAAACCTATAAAACTAATCTCAAAGTGAACTATATACCTTTTCTTTTTATTTTGTATGTGTGGGAATATTGGTAAGCCAGTTCTAGTCATTGCTTCAAGTTGTAGAGCTGTCCAAGTATAATGTAACAATTATTTATCAAAACATAAGTCACTTGGTTCCCAGGAAAACATATGTCTACATAGATTTGAGTAGCTGTTAGGAAATACGCAAATAAATAAATAAATTCTAGTTAAAACAAGTTCCTTCAATAATGAAAATAAAAATTAAAAAAATCTTATTTATTAAGAATTGTATTAGTTCATTAGTTTATTAGTTATTAATTATTTTATTAGTTATTCTGAAGAGAGACCTTATTCTATTTTAAATTCACTCAGTTTTTATTACCAACGTTCAATTAAATGAAGCACAATTTTGTCCGCTTAATTTCCAAAATATCTATGGGAGTTGAAATATTTATAGGTAGTGTGGTACAAAGTGATCAGAATGGTTTTATTACTCGCTTACACAGAAAGTAGAATGTAATATTTGTTCAATGGTACGGATTGTCTTATTGGTTGTCTTATTGTTGAGAGCAGACACGTGGTATGCATATCCATGCTTTAAGAATAGATAAAATGTACACAGTTTAATCCTATATAAATATAAGCTGAAGGACACAATGCATCGTTATTCCAACGGAAGTATGCGATAAAGCTTAAATTGTAAAAGTGCATTTGTAAAATGCAATTGTGCTCACTTAACATCTTTTCTATAAATTATGAGCAGCTTGCTCAAGCTACATGCAGAAGTTTAAATGGGGATGCGTTATATTGAAATATTTGACATGGATGCTTTGAAATATTTTTAAGGTGGCAAATGATTAGATAGAGAGTTATGTTATATAACCAATCAAAGCTGGAAATATCCTAATGTTAATGATTTGGCAAAATATATGAACATATAGACTGGTGTATAATTGAACCTGTTAAAACATGTTGGAAAATTAAAACCTTTACAAAAATTTCATATATTTGCCTATGCAAGCATGAATCAGGCACTGGAGTGCTATGTTCACAAAATATTAAACAGCAATAAATGAGAATCTACCAATTCCTAAGAAAAGTTTTCTCGTAAACATCAAAAAAGGGTAATGGAGTGAGAATCTAAGGATGGCCACTAAAGGTGCTCCAGCCTAGACTGTGCTCAACAAATGTGGATCAACAACCATTGGGTCAAGTCAAAACAACATCCAAATGCATCCTACACTCCACCTCCTGGTCCCTAAATACTGCACATCCAACACTAATCCATGCTTACTTTTTATGCGGCTTTTATTATTTGATTCAGTGTTGGTTTTAAACTGTTTTGTTGTGTTTGTGCCGGTTTGTTGTGTGTGAGAAAGTATTTAAACAAAATATGAAACAGCCTTACTGGTAAATTTTAAGTGTGTAGTTCGAACTGTACCCCAGACAATCTTTTGTCGTATAAATATAAAACATGAAAGATGACACAATTTTACAACAAAATGACTGTAAATCTAGATTGTGAAAGGTACTTTGTACAATGTAATATTGACATATTCATTTTTATAATGTATCTTAGAATTATATGAGTTTTTATATATAACATTTTTAGTAATTAAACTTCTCTAAAGAAATATGTATTTTATAAACATTTTTATAGGACCAGTTAGGTGGATTTAGGAAGAGTTTAGTGACAGAGGTGGCTTCACCTCCTCACTTACTTGTTGTTTCTGAGTTAGCTGTGAACCTCCGGGTATTGCCATTTCTAGTAAAGGGGAAGATAGTTGTTCCTTTGTGAGGTATTCATTCTTCCTATCCAGCTCCTCTTCAAGGAGACTCACAGCCTTCTCCAGAGTAGAGATCCTAGCATCCTTTGTTTCCAGGATTGCAGTCAGGGTGCTATTTGGCTGTGAGCCACTGTTTTGATTTTGCAGTGCTCTCTCAAGTTGCAACTGCAGTGCTCTAAGTGTTTCATTTGTTGCCTTTAACTCCTGAATTAATAATACAAAATGATTTACAGTTCTTTTTTCTTTTAATTTAATTTTTAAATGTTTTGAACAAGGAAATCAATCTAGTTATACAAAGTGTAAGGAAATATAAAATTATTGTTTGTAACATGTCAATGAGCTGTTTTATAACCCTTAAACTGAACATTTTGATTCAATGATTTTTTTAAACTTTTTTTAAAAATTATGATAAATTTAGAACATTCTTACAATTTTTCTATGGATTATGTATGAATAAATACATTATAAGTTTATATTATTAATAATATAATATGTTATACGTATGAATATAAAGTATTCATATACTATATGTATATACATATACATATATGTTTTGAAAGATTAATATAAAGTTGAGTATTATCTTTATTTTTGTAGAAATTTTATCTTTTGTTTTTGAATAAGTGTCTAAAAATTAAAGTATCAAAACAAAATTTTTGTTTTAATTGCATATGTTAGTTTGGATGATGAAATTAATATAGACAAATTTCGTTAACATTTAAGAACTTAATTTGTGGCAATTTATAACATCTCATGTTTTCAAATTATAAGAGGTGGGCTAATGCATCCTCTGACGCTAAGAATGCAGTAAACAACACGATTAATTGATTGGGCACTGTTGATGGGTGGCCCTCACAGGATCTGACTCATAGAAGAAGGTCATCATCACCCGATTAAGAATAGGCCATGCAAGGTTGACACAAGGATACTTACTTTTGGGCGAAAGCCCGCGTATGTGTCCGACATGCAGAGAAAGGTTGCTCGATGTGTCCCATCTACTTGAAGGGTGGGATGGCTCCTTACAGAGAGCGCACAGGCATGCCACCTGATTTGAAAATTGTGCTTGAGCACGGCAGTGAGTATTTAGGTCCCTTGTTCCGATTCTGGGAGGAAACGGGGCTTTTCTACTGTATATAGTATAATAGTTGTGTACACCTAATTTGTGTGGAGAGTGAATGTATTTATTAGCGTGAATTCACTTATAAGTGTAACCCTCAATTAAGTTTAGTTGTATAATATATGTGTGAAGGGTGATGCAGGAATATCGAGTACTCCACCACCCTATTTGAATGAATGGTATGTAAATACCCCCCCCCAGTCCAACCTTGGTGGCTGGACGGATAATACTGAGGTCTGCCCCCAAACTGCCAACACCAGGATGGGTGATTCTTGATACTGCTGGCAAATTACTGTAAATAGCAAAAGCCGGACCTACCAGTGCACTACGGGAAGCGAATTGGCTCAACTCCACACATGTTTGTATGGGTGTGGACTTGAGCCTGTATAAATCTAATTCCAAATCCAAATTGTAAGAATGTTTTTTTTTTGTTACAAGGAAATGCATGTTTATTACAGGCATTATTTGAATTAATGTTTTGAGAGAAGCTTTTCATTTAAATTAGTTAACTAATAGGTGGTTTTAGTTTATTTTGTAGTCTGACAGCATATTCTTAATTTCCGTAATCTGCAATTTTTTTTGCCCTGCAAAAGGGTGAATTTGATTTGCAAGGAGTAAATTTGATTTAGAAAAAAGGGAATTTGATTAATAAAAATGAATTTGATTAAAACGCGAAAGATTTATTCGTTATGAAGGGAGACAGAGTTTGATTAGCAAAAAGGTGAATTTTTTTTGCAAAAGAGTGAATTTGATTTGTAGAAAACCACATTTAATTTGAAAAGGGTGAATTTTATTTGTATGAGAGCAAATTTGAATTGTAATAGAGTGAATATTTTTTTCAGTTTGATTCTTGTAACTCTCTGTTCTTACATTACACACAAATTTATAGAAAAAAGTTTTTAATAAGTAATCTGTTTCTGGTGAATGTCTAATAAATTATATCCCTAATAGAAAAGTATTATGAATATATGACATGAAACCATTGTCTTTCCACTAAGTCTTAATGAATTTATTTAATGACCAAATTGATTGAAATAACAATTAATGAGAAATTATTTCAATCTTGAGATCATTTTTAGTTTTTGTTTACAGTCACATGCCATACTTAATATTACATATAACTGTTGAATTTTTCAATTAACTATTACAATCTTTATATCTTTAATGACATGTTCAGTTGAAGGATTATGGATAAATTTGGACTATTAATCCAGTAATTTCATCATATTTGATGTTAATCGTTTAACAATAGTTTTTTTTACAATGCAGTGAAATTTTAAATTTGATGCACCTAATTTATTATTGTTATTGATGTGTGTTGGTGCAAAAACGGCTAAAAAATGTATATATCACCATTTATAGTATACGTGGTTAAAAATATATACATAATAAAAAAAATTAGTTTATTTTAGCTTACAGCTTACATATTGTTTTCATTATTTAACTTCATAGTTACTAATTTATGTAATTTTATAAAGCATAGGAAAACATATTAGCTAAAATTAACGGAATTGTCTGTCACTATTTGCCTATTTGAAAAAAAGACTGAATTACTCGAAATTGTTTTGAATACAAATTGACAATGATTATATTATAGGTAGTATATATTATTTAACAATTGTACACAACAGCTGTAACAACCATTCATGTTATGGTCATGGACAATTTTTTTTAAATGACAGCTGTAGACTGTTTATATAATATTTATCTCAAGTAAGTTAAAATGTTAAGCAATGTTGTAATTGGCTCATTTTTAAATTTAATTTCTTTCTCTTTTGTGTTTTCTGTCATCAGAGGTTATTGAGATTTTGTTACAATGTAATAAAGCAATAACAATATTTTTAAAATACTTATTATAGCCCAGATATAGTTCAATATCTAACTATAGTGAAATTAAACAAATAATAAATACTCTACACAACATATTTAAATACATAAATGCTTCTGAATTTTACAATTAAAATTAAAATTTTCGTTTTCTTTGCAAATTTACTCACACCTCCCTCGTACATTTTTGAGTTTTTAAATTTACCACTCTTGCACAAATAATAATTTAAAAAGGTACATATGACAAGGATTGATACATGAGATTAATACGTAAAGTTAAAAAAAGAATAAATAATTAATTTAATTTTTTATTTGCTTTTTACTTTTGATAATGATAGATTAACGACATATTTATGATAATTGATGCTCTGCGAGTGATATGTTAATATAATGTAAATAGTGAAGTTTTACAAAATATTTTTCCTTTTTAAAAGGTACAAGAATAAGTTGTTTTTCTTTGATGTCTAATAAACTATTAACTGTTCAAATGAAAAATGTTTGTATGATATATTTTATGATTACTAATGACTACATTTAATAATAATTTCTGTGTTTAAACACGAATAATCTCAATAGTGATGACAAAATAAACCTATTAAAAAACAAGAAATGCTATTCAAATATGGAAAATTGTAATTGGAAAAAAATTGCAATTGTATGTGAATTTTGTGTAATGAGCACTTTGACAGGGATTAGATCAGAGACTGGAGAAATGAGCCTTATGATTTGGTTTGACTATTACGAAATGGAAGTGTCGTGTGTAAAGACAAGAGCAGGAGCCCAATTAATAAGCTCCTTGTACGAGTGAGGATGTTATCAGCTGTATTTTTTTTTTTTTTTTTTTTTTTTTTACTCACTCGCTTAGTTACATTGAGTTCCTGGTCTCGCCTTCGCACAACTGTTTCATAATGGCGATTCAGATTTTCACTCGCTATCAGTTTGGCTTGTAACTCCATCTTTGATTGGTCATCCTCTATCATTTGACCACCTACAAAACATCCAAAGCACGTCAAAAAGGCCAGGACTAATCTAAGTGTCTAGGAGTGCAGGAAGCTAGGATGGACCTAGAATAATAATGATCACTAGATTTCCTGTTATTTAATATATNTAATTTTTTGCTGAGAGGCAATACGCTTTTTTAAAACATTTTTATCATTAGTTTCCGTAATACTGGTACAATTTTGTTCTTAGGTCAACAATTGAAACATAAACGAATGCACATACCATTTTGCAATATTGACTATTGATTGAATATAGGTCGTGTATTTAGATGTTTATTAAGTAATATTGTAATAGAGAACATGTGTGCATTAACATCAGTAAATAGTACATGACAAGACGATAAATCTAGGAATAAATATTTAAAGAAGCTACTTAGGTAACCACCTGTTTCTGGGCCATAGCCTGCATTTGATGTAACATTTGCCTCTCTTCCTCTTTCCCTAAAACAGAATCGCCTTTACTTTTACACATAGCACTCCATTAAAAGTTAATTGATTCATGAAACGTGATTTTACAGGAGCGCATAGAAACATATGAACAATTAAAAAGTAGCAGTATTTGGAAGAGACAGATGCTATACATTTATCATATAATAATTATGCATAATATCTAGATTATAATATAATCTAATTACAGACAACTGAATTTGTCCCTTCAATATTATATTACAATAAATATCTACTAATTCACCACATATTCTTGATTTAAATGTAGGAATGATAAAAGTGCACTGGCCACTTACAGCAGCAAAACAAATATAAAAAAAAAACACGGTATTGCAGCTAGTCCATTAACATCGGAATGACAAAATCCAAACTGCAAGAAATAAACTTACCATCATATTTGTAAGTTAAATTTACTACTCAAACTTTTTGTATTAATGAATCTTCTAAATTTCATATTTCATATACAATTGTGATTGCTATTTTCCCCCAATTGATTTACAATATTTCATTTAATCTAATTACAGTTTCAACTGGTTAACCTAACCACTGTCTTACTGAGAGTGTTATTGTTTACTTGGTTATTCAGAACGCGTAAAACGGATCTACATAAAACTTACCAACACCTTTATTTTGAAGCATTTCGAGAAGTTTCTTGATGCTTTCATCACGAGCTTGCAGTGTTTGCTTTTGTGAATCTATCCTAAGTTCCAAATCCTATGAACAAAGTCATTGGGTGGTTTTGACCAAAGGAAAACAAAAAATTCGGATATATACGTTTTGAAGCATACAACACCTTAATAGTTTCCCTGAGAATAGCAACTTCACGTGATAAATGTTCGTTCTCCGTATAGAGAACTTCCATCTGCTGTTGCATTTCTAAACTTGGTCCCCTCATTCTTAACCTGAGCTCCTCTTCCAGTTGTCGGACAAGCATCGCTTGTTTCTGAAAAAGAAAAAAAAACAAAAAGATTAGTGTTATATATTGGTGTTATTCAACTGAAAGAAAAATTATGTTGAAAATTAACAATTTATGTTGAGTGTGTTTATAGGTGTTGTGTGGACTTAAAAACTATATTTGATGAAGGCGAAGAGATATTCACAGAAAAATATAAGAAATTTTCTGTCAGTTGAGGCATCTCTTGATATCACTATTTTGTCTTCTTCTTGTCTGAAAATTAAGTTGTAAAAATTTTAGATTATTACTTTTTAAAAGGAAAAATGCGCATGTGTTTCAGGTGTAGACATATTTGCACAAACACTTGTATAACAGGAAATTTTCACAGTTAGCCGGGGTATCTTTTGATATCACGTTTTTGTCTTCTTCTTATCTAAAAATTCAGTGGTAAAAAGGTTAGATTATTAATTTTAATAAAGAAAAATGAGCATGTGTTGGTAAGGTAGCGGGACAGATTCACAGACACATACGATTAAGCACGAACTTTCACAGACATCTCTTGATATCACTTTCTGGCTTCTTCTCGTCTGAAATTTAAGTGGTAAACATTTTTATATTAACTATACTTTCAGGAATATTGAGCATGACTGTAGCGAGACATATTCACAGACATGATTAGGATCTTTTTAATCTGACCAATTATCACTTGTTATCAATTTTCCATTTCTTTTCGACTGAAAATTAAGTGGTAAAAATTTTAGATTATTAATTTTTATACAGAAAAATTAGCATACGGTTCAATTGTAGTAAGACACATTCACAGAAACATTCGTTTAAACAGGAACTTTTCTCAGTCAGACCGAGCAACTCTTGATATCACGTTTTCGACTTCTTCTTTCTGAAAAATAAGTGGTAAAAATTGTAGATTTTAGTATATTAACTTCTTTCAGGATTTTTTGTTAACCCTCTTCCTTCCCCATCGTTACTGAGGGAGACGTGATATAGGCGGACCCTCATTAAGCTTATTTGGAGGGGCTAAAGTTGTGATTTTTGACATCTTTTTTCCCATTCCCTTATTACTAAGGAATTAGGAAGATAAGGGGCTTAGTAAAACTAAATATTTTAATTGATTTACAATATCATTCAGTCTAATTACTGTTTCAACTGGCTAACAACTGTCTTACTAAGACTAAGAGTTCTAGGTTTTTTCCATATAAACCCTCAGGGAAACCTTGCGGCCACCGACGCCCCCCTTATACATACTTACACCTTTACCCACATACATACTTTACATGCTTTAAAAAGCGTTAATTTGAAATGAAATTTTTTATTTAAAAATTAAACAGGGTTAATTTGATATTCAAAGGGTTAAATTGAAAATTAAAAACCGTTATTTTCGAATCAGTTCAGTAGTTACTTGGTTATTCAGATACGCAAAACGAATCTGCATAAAACTTACCAACTCCTTTGTTTTGAATTATCTCTAGAAGTTTGTTGATGCATTCATCACGAGTTTGAAGCGTTACTATTGTGAATCTATCCAAGTTCCAAACCCTACGAACAAAGTCATTGAATTGTTTTGACCGAAGAAAAAAAAATGAATATATACGTTTGAAGTGTTCAATACCTTTATAGTTTTCCTGAGAATGACAACTTAACGTGATAAATGTTTGTTCTCCGTATAGAGAAGTTCTATATGTTGTTGGATTTCTAAGCTCCTTAACATCCTTAACCTGAGTTCCTCTTCTTGCTGTCCAATAAGCATCACTGGTTTCTGAAAAAAAAAAAAAAGATTAGTGTTGTGTGTTGGTGTTTTTTAACTTAAAGAAAAATTATGTTGATTATTGAGAATTTTTGTTGTGTGTTTTATGTGTAGTTAAAAACTAATAATATGACGAATGAAAAAGTAGGCGACAACACGTTTAGGAACTTTTTATCTCTTGAATCTCTTGATATCACTTTTTTGGCTTCTGCTCGTCTGAAAAATAAGTTATAAAAATATTAGATTATTATTTCTTTTTGGAAAAATGAGCATTCCAAGTGTAGCGAGACACATTAAACATGAATTTTTCACAGTCAGTTGACGCATCTTTTGATGACAGTTTTAAGTATTCTTCTTGTCTGAAAATTAAGCGGTGAACATTTTAGATTATTTTTTATTTTTGAAAAATGAGCATGTGGTGGTTCGCGAGTAGCGAGACATATTTACAGACCCAGACATTATTTGCATTGAAAAATTAACTTTTTACAATAAGTTGAGGAATCTTTTGATATCACTTTTTCGTCTTATTCTTGTTCGAAAATTAAGTCGTGAAAATTTTAGATTATTAATTTTCCTAAGAAATATGAGCATTCGGTTCCAGTATTGCGAGATACATTCACATACATTTTTAAGATCTTTTCACAGCCTGAGCAAGCATCTCTTGATATCATTTTTTTCTTCTTGTCTGAAAAATAAGTCGTAAAATTTTTCTGTTATTAATTTTTAGAAGACAAATGAGCATTCGGTTCAAGAATTGCTAGACACATTCACAGACACACGTTTAAACTGGAACTTTTTACAGTCAGTCGAGGTATCTTTTGCCAACAGCTTTTCGTATTCTTCTAGTCTAAAAATGAAGTGGTGAAAATTTTAAATTATTACATTTTTTAGAAAAATGAGCATGAGTTTCAAATGTAGTAAGACATTCACATAGCTTGTCATATCACTTTTTCCTGTTCTTCTTGCCTGAAAACCAAGTCTTAAAAATTTTAGATAGTTAATTTTTATGAGAAATGACAAATGCGCATTCGGTTCAAGTGTTGTGAGACACAATCACAGACACACACGTTTAAACTGGAACTTTTCACAGTCAGTTGAGGTATCTTTTAGTAACAGTTTTTCATCTTCTTCTTGGCTGAAAATTAAGTAATAAAAAATTAGATGATTGTTTATTCGTTTGGAAAAATGAACATGTGTTTCACGTGTACCGAGACACATTCATCGAACATCTTGCTATCACATTTTTGTCTTCTTCTTGTCTGAAAATTAAATGGTGAATATTTTAGATCATTAATTTCACTCAGGATAAATGTGTTTTATTAACCATCCTCCTTCTCCGCTAAATAGCTGGAGGGAGTAAGCTGCTGTCCTTAACGTACCCCTCGAGGCAACGTGCACTACCTCCTTGTATACTAGTCACGTTACCCGTACATGGGGGGGCTCTGAGCTGCGTAACTTTAGTCCATTGTTTCTCGTGTAAGCTAGATGAGTTAACCAACAGAAAAAGCGATTCAAATTGGACTAACCTCTAGTGCGGGTAGTAGTGCTCCAGGCGCTGCTCAAGGCAGGAGTGCCCCTTTAACTGAGTTATGAAGGCTAACTTGGCTGGCTTGTGTATATAGCTAATCTCTCGTCAGAAGAGGCGTTTTTCATCTGACTGTCTGGAAACGCAAGGGAAAACTTCGTGAGCACCGCTGCCCGACCATTGCCTACCAAAAGGTTTTTGTTTGAAGAAAGCACTACCGCAAAATAATTCTCAAAGAAGCCGAGACCTATGAGGATGGAGCAACCCACTCAGCGAGGCTTTGCTGCAGTGAAAGTGTTGTCCACCAAGCTCTGTGAGGAATGGTATCCCGAAGCCTACAATTTGTACCGTCTACAGTGCGTAAGAAAGAATACTAGGCTACAGGCTGAGAAAATACTAAACCGTTTACGAATTAGAAACAGGCAGCTGATTTATGGACCTTCACAATAGATGATGAGTCCCAGACGGAGCCGAAAAAGCTGTCCTATTATTTTGGAGTGGGAAGGATTAAATAAATTCCGACTAAAGGAAAAGGGCGCATGGGTAGAGAAAACGGAGGGCCAATCCGTATGTCAATGGGCGGAAGAAATGTTAAGGAAGAGAGTAGTTATATCCACGTTGGGCGACACGGCAGTAAAGGTGAGAACAACCAGAGTCTGCCCTCAGGATGGAGTTCACCTTTACTGTGGTAGGTATTGGTCGATGATCTGAAAATGCTACCTGACGAAGGCTTTAACTGCCTGAGATGTGAAGATGGTCTGACGGTGGTCGTGAATGGAAGTCATTACAGAGAGGGCACAATACGCACTCAACATAACAAATAAATAGTTTAAAACGGAGGGTGCTTAAACAATAAACCTTAATAAAACCATCGTAGTTCCCTTTACCAAGAAAGGGCATTAGGAGGACATAAGCCCCTTGTGCTAAACGGAGTTGCAATTTCTTTCTCTAAAGAGGTGAAATATCTGGGAGTCATCTTTGATCAAAGACTGGTGGACTCGAAAAATAAATAAGCTCACACAGAGAGCGAAAATTGACCAATCGCCTCTGTGGGAAACGTTGGTGCTATAGAGCTGGGGCCCAGGGCCAAACTGCACAAAATACAAAAAAATTAAAACTGTAACCTGAGTATTTATATCCCTACAATGTCAACTTTTTTAGGGGAGTCCTAGCTTTTTTCTATAATTATTAGCAAGCAAATTTAGTTTCTTTAATATGGTAATTCTTAAAACATTCCGGGTGAACTGGAACTTCTCACTTTTGCACAAATCGGGCGTTTGTTCTTTACATTGGTCGCATACTTGGTATTTGGATTCACCTTTTTTTTATTAGGTGGTCAATGTTATCTTTTCTTTTTGGTCATATGCGGATCTTGACGACACTGATTTAGAAGAAGTAGGCGAGCTAAGATGGCGTATGTATGTCACCAAGACTCTTTCCAAATAGAGGAATGGAATAGTGAACCTATGTTTCGTGAATAATAGCCACCCATGTACAACAGACACTTGCACTGCCCAAGAAAAAATGGCCACCACCACTTTTTTGTCCTTATTGTCGGTCTGTAGCATGATAGGAATTGATGCGACAGACCCCCCCCCCCGGTATTAGAATTACACTTAGCAATAACTTCGGGTATGAGTAAAACGTGGCAGTTCGGCCTACAGCTTCGGTTGTATGTGCCATCACAGTCACAAGATTATTGTCATTCCACCTTGCAAGTATGAAATTCCCATCAGATCTGTATTGCACTTTTCCTCTTTGCCCTTTCTTGGAATAGTTGGGTTTTATCCTATTTTCTCTGACAGTCCCTGTCCCCCCAGACATTTTTTATTTAACTGTTTTAGGAGCCCTTACGACATAAATAAATTGTCAAAATACAAATGAGATCCCATTGAAATATTTGATTTTTAATCTATCACATCTATGATTAAATCTATCACAACATCCCCACCTTGACCAAGCTCAGTGCGAGGTAGACGTGCAGTTATTCGCGGAGCAAAAATATTTGGTGCTCGCCGTGTTAACAAAATCAACAGTAAGAGTATACTTCTATTTAATGCTATTTATTTTTCATTAATAAACGATTCCTAACTAGTATAGATGTATTAATTTAGACAATAACAACATAGCATTGATTTTTGATTAGGAATGGATTGGCCCAACGCAACAGTTTTGGAGTTCCTCCAGCTTTAGGAACCAGAACCAATAATTTGGAATGTTTCTCTAACGAATCATAAAAATCGGAACGAGGTTTTCGATGCGCGGAAACTTTTCAGTGTCAATCAAGGCGTATCTTGGTATCACTTATTCATGTTTTTTGGCTAAAATTAAGTAATAAAATTTTAGATTATTAGTTTTTATAAAGATAAATGGGCATGTCGTCCAAGTGTATCGAGATACATTCACATAAACACACGTTTAAATTAGAACTTTTTACTTTCAGTCGAGGCATCTCTTGGTATTAGATATTCGTCTTGTTCATGTCTGAAAACGAAGTTCTATATATTTTAGGTTATCTATTTTTTTTAAACTGTAAAATGACTATGTCGTTCAAGTGTAGCAAAGTACAATCACAAATACATTCGTTTACATAGGAACTTTTCAGTGTCAATCAAGGCATCTCGTGTTATCACTTCTTCGTTTTCTTCTTGCCTGAAAATTCGGTGGTAAAAAGTTTACGTTATTTATTTTTTTTTTTACAGAAAAAAAGCATGTCCTTCCTGTGTAGCGAGATACATTCAAAAAACACTTATTTAAACAGGACTTTTCAGTGTCAGTCAAGGCATCCCTTGGTATTACTTCGTATTCTTCTTGGCTGAAAATTAAGTGGTAAAAAATATAGTTTACTAATTATGTTCAGAAAAATGAGCATGTTTCCCAAGTGTAGCGAGATACATTCACAGAAAAGCTTGTTTAAACAGGAACTTTTCATTGTCAGTCAGGCATGTCTTGGTATCGTCTTTTTCTTGTCTGAAAATTAAATGCAAAAATTGTTACGTTACTAATTTATATACCGAAAAATGGGCATGTCGTTAATGTGTAGCAGAAACACACGTTTAAATAGGAATTTTCCACTTTCAATCGAGTCATCTGTTCGTATTACACCTTCGTCTTCTTCTTGTCTGCAAATTCAGTGGCAAAAACTTTAGATTATTTAATTTTTTACCTGAAAATTAAGTGCAAAAATTTTTAGATTATTAATTTTCATACTTTCGTCGCATTTCTAAATATATACCTTGCGTAAAGTTCAACGAGGGGATATTTTAAAGGCAATCGTTTATGTAAACAGTAGAGAACACTGCAGAAAATTAGGTATCAAAATTTCATTCAGGACAAATTTTTGTTAACCCTCCTCCTTCCCCGCCGTTTCCGAGGGAGACTATACGGCAGACCCGCCATTCCATAAGTTTATTGCAAGGGGCACATTTGGGGGATGACTAAATCCTTCCTATCTCCTTATTACTGAGGAATTAGGAGGGAGAAGGGACATTAAAAAATGAAATGTT